AACCCCCTTCCCCTCCCCCTTTTCTGATGAAGGGTCTAGGCCCGAAATGTCAGCCTCTCTGCTCCTAGGCCTGCTGTGTTCATCCAGCCCTGCACCTTGTTGTCTCACCACTTTTGTTAAGTCAGTTTCTCGCATCTCGATGAGTGCAAGATGAAAAGCTGGTCTCCTTTTTACAATGTTTCAGTGCTGTAATATCAAGCAATTATCCGAATTAGTCACATGCTCAGTATTAGAAAAACAGAAAACTCTCCGTCCTGGTCTACTACCAGTTTTATGCTGACATTTTACTCTTGAAGACAACTTACGTTTATATGTGGTTTTTAACGTTGTAAATGTCCCAAGATACTGCACAGCAAAAATTTGACAAAGCCACTAAAAACAATCCTTAGTCAGAGCATTATTTCTTAAAGCAGCATCTTGAACTGATGCATTTGGTGGCATAATCTTGACAATGGAGTCTACAGCTAACAAATGCCAAGTTCTTTTTTGCCTTCTAACACTGTCCAAAAGGAGCCACAGTTAGGTGTTGGAAGTCTTCTGTTACAACCCAGAGTAACTCATACTCTTGGTCAGGATTTCCCATGACCCAGGTTCTGCAGCCTCACTACCACAGACAAGAAAAATCCCAAGCATTGGCTAATTATTTAAATCGCTGGTCTGAGGAGGTAACAGAGAACAGGACAACAAAGAAAACACTAGGTCTGCAAAGCTACTGGAATCTGGATGCAAAAGATTGTAGCAGTGCACATAAAGCTGGAGAATGAAGCAGAGGAACTTGGAAAAGCAAGTTCAGAGCTTAGGCAGATAAAAGGATGGTCACTAATGAATGAAAACCAGGGACGCGGTGAAGGCCAGAAATGAATAGCAAGTGTTGTAGGGCTGGACAAGACAACAGAGAGCTCCCTTGTTGTACCTTAGGAAGCAGGGCTAGGTTAGAAGTGCAACAAACCACTATAGAAAATAGTAATTTACATGGTGGAAACCAAATGGGTCTGTGGTTGCTTGTGTAAACATCACGATATTTGAAGAGTACAGTCTTTTCCCAATACATTCCACAGACTATTTTTGGGGACAATCATTGACGAGTCTTCCTGGGTGCAAATGGTCTCATTCACATTTTTCTTATCACAGAATCGCCTACACAGTGTGGGAGCAGGCCATTTGGCCCATCAAGTCCACACCGACCCACTCGTTACCCTATCATTGTAACCCTGCATTCCCCATGGCTAATCCACCCAGCCTACACATCCTTGGACACTAGGGGCAATTTAGCATGGCCAAAATCACTTAACTTGTGCATCTTTGGACTGTGGGAGGAAACCACAGCATCCAGAGGAATCCCATGCAGATGCAGGATGAATGTCCAAACTCCATACAGACAGACAGTCGTCCAAAGGTGGAATCGAACCAGGTCCCTGGTGTTGTGTGGCAGCAGTGCTAACCACTAAACCACCATACCACCCTTCAGTCAGCAATCTTGACTCAGTACCAACACTCACCTCAAAAATCCAAAGCTTGTGGGATCAAACTTCATGCCAATGAGATTATCTATTCCCAAACTCCAAATTGAAGGAATGATGTGCTTCCCCACACCCACCAGCATCACTTCAACTTCTGTAAAAGGATATTATTTTTAAGCTTCCTTACTCTGTACCTCTGGTTTTGAAAAAGTGCTAGCAATATTCATGGTGATTGCAATAAATTCCTGATGATCACTGACACAATTTTCCACTACAAAAGAAATCCATGATGAACTAACATCCATTCCAATCACTCGAGGCAGGGCTGCAGTTAATGCTCTTTTCCTGTTAACACAAGAGACCCCCAACTTGTACACACTTTCCTGATTTGCTTCTCCTTCAACTGCATTCAGCTCTTCTTCTGAACATTATCAATTCCTTCAGGTCACTCCATCTCTTTGCTTAATCTTCTTTCTTTTGTAGTGGAATAATTGGAAAAGATCCAGAGGTAGGGATTCAATGAAAATCTTGAAATTTTTCCAAAGGTCGTTTCTTTTTGTGTTGAATTCCTTCTACAATTTCCACCCTTTATGCTCAATTGTGCCATCTTTGGCTCTCTGGTCAAAATTCCATACTTATGGTACCATTCCTTTTAATTTCAAGCAAACCCTGCATTAATCTTCCATTGCTAGAAATAGCTCAAAATTTCATTTCATCCTTTTTGCCATTGGTTTCTTCCACCTCCCATGCAAAGACCATCTATAAAATTCCAGTTCATCCAAAGCTGAACAAGCTTCACCATATCTGAAGAGGTTCCAACAAGTCTCACTCCATGTGCCCCTTAGGCCAACAAAAGGGCAAGCTTAACTAACAGATGACACCTCACTCAGCTACAAGCGTTTGACTTATTTCAATACTGGTCTTTCTTACCCATAGCTTGTAACATTCACCAATCCTTTAAATGTCTTGTTGAGTACTAACCCACAATTCTTCACTCTGCCTCTACCACTGGTCTTCCTCCTCCAGCTCAACAGAGATCTTTAAAGAAGATTATCTCCACACCTCAAACTATAAATGCTCACTAATAACGGCTGCAGATTAGCCAAATGCAACTATGTGGCAAGTTACTTCGAGAAAAGGATCAAGAGAGAGCACACAAGCAAGAGACAGCAGGCTAGAAAAGGAATAGAATGAGTGGGTGCGATCCAACCAAATGGAGTCAAGCAGAACAATCTCAGAATAAAACTAAAAATAATACAGGTTTCATGAGGAAAATGAATGAACATACCTTTTATATCTCTAAAAAGGTATGATCCCACAAATGAAAATACCACCACAGATATTGGCAAGGCACAATCAGACAGGGTTTCTCGGACCCTGGCATGAAGAAAAGGGCTGTAAAAAGAACAACATATTGAAAACTACATCCCAAGTGAAATAAAGTTGGCTGGAAAACAATTACAAATAAGCCAATATTGTTTGTTGGCTAGGCTAGACATTAAAAATTGGCAGCATGCATCATTATTGGTTCAATAGTACACTAAATAAATACTTAGTGTCTCATCTCTCAAGGTTAGTTGCCAGCACAGTTCCAATAATCCTTTGGCCCATGAGGTTATGCCGAACACGATGCCAAATTAAACTAATCCCTTCTGCCTGTCCTTGGCCTATATCCCTCCATTCCTTGCATATTCATGTACTTATCTAAAAGCCCCTTAAATGCCCCATATCTGCCACCACCACTGCTGGCAGCACGTTCCAGACTCCTACCACACTACACAAAAAAAAACTTGCCCTCTCTCACTTTAAATGCATTCCCCCTGGTATTAGGCAGTTCACCTCCTGGGAAAAAAAATTCTGTCTACCATATCTATGCTTCTCATAATTTTATGGACTTGTGTCAAGTCCCCCCACCCCCCAACTCAACCTCAGCCACTCCAGAGAAAAACAACCCTAATAATGGTAGGTAAGGAATAAAACCCAAGACACGCAGTATGGACAATCAGTTTCATACCCAGAACAGCAGACAGCAAAGCTATTCAAATCATCAGACCTATTGCTGATTGGGTGTTGGAGCTACCCAATTAATCTCACTCCCTTATATTTTCCCTCACATTCCAGCATAAAAATACCCCCTTCAAGCGTTTAATAGATTAGCTTTTGAGCATAGCAATCCAATCTGCTTCCACTACCATTTCAGGCAGTGCATTCCAGATCTTAGTGCACAAGAAAAATGCCTCACGGCATCTCTGGCTCTTTAGCCAATCATCTTAACTTAGTGAGGCTGCTGACTTGCTCGCCGAGCTGGCTTGTTCTCATTCAGATGTTTTGTCACCGTGCTAGGTGACATCAGTGAGACCTCCGATAAGTGATGTTATTCCACTCTGCTTGGAATTTATACTGTCTGGTCCATTATGGGGAGTACTGTCGTTTCCGGTTTTGATCTGTATGGGTTTGTATATGGGGTCCAATTCTATATGTTTGTTGATTGAAGTATGGGTGGAGAACCATGCTTCTAGGAATTCCCATGTTTGGCTTGGGCTACTATAGTTACCTTGTCCCAGTTAAACTGATGGCCTTCATAGTCTGTGTACAGATATTAAGGAGAGCCGCTTAATATCGGTACACTCAGACAATGAAGGCCATCAGTTTAAACTGGAGACTTCATTAATATATCTTTAAACCCGTAGAGATCAAAAACTGGAAATGACAACTCACCATAACAGACCAG